CCTTATTTTATTATTATTTTTAATTGTTCAGATACCTTTGTCTCCATTCTCCCTCCACCACTTTCCCCTGCCCCACCCACCCCCACCTCCCACCCCCAATCCTTCCCCACTTTGGCTTTGTCCATGGGTCCTTTATACATGTTCCTTGATTTGACATTTCCCCTTTCTTTTCTGATTTTAATTATTTGATTGAGTCTTCTCTCTTTTTTTCTTGGTTAGTTTAGCTAAGAGTTTGTCAATTTTGTTCATCTTTTTAAAAATCAACTCATCAAATTTTTGGTGTACCTTGTTTCATTTCTTTCTGCTCTAATTTTTATTGTTTCCTTCCTTATGCTAACTTTGGGATTAGTTTGTTTTTTTTTCTAGTTCCTTAGGGTATAAAGTAATGTTGTTTATTTGAGATTGTTCTTTTTTAAATGTATGTCTTTATCACTATAAATTTCCCTTTTAGTACTGCTTTTGCTATGTCACATAATTTTCGTATGTTTTATTTTTCATTTGTCTTGAGATACTTCCTAATTTCCCTTCTGATTTCTTCTTTAATCCAAATGGTTATTTAAGAGCATGTTGTTTAACTTTTGCAAGTCCATTTTCCTTTTGTTATTGATCTAGTTTTATTCCATTGTGGTTGGAAAAATACCTGGGATGACTTCAAACTTCTTAGATATGTTAAGAATTGTTTTGTGGACCAGCATGAGATCTATGCTGGATAATATTCTATGTGAGAATATATATTCTGCTGCTACAAGATGAAATGTTCTATATATGTCTGTATTGTCCATTTGGTTTGTAGTGTTGGTAAAGTCTTCTGTTTTATTACATACTTTCTGCCTCAATGACATAGCCGTTATTGAAAGTGGGATATTGAAGTCTCCTGATTTTGCTGTCTATTTTTCCCTTCAGATGTGTGAATGTTTGTTTTATATATTTTGGTTCTCTCTTCTTGGGTACATATATGTTTATAACTGTTAGATCTTTCTGTTAGAGTGATACTTTTATCATTCTTTATCTCTTATGTCAGTTTTTGACTGACTCTATTTTATCTGATATAAGTTTGATTACATCTGTTCTATTTTCATTAACATTTGCATGGAATGTCTTTTTCTATTCCTTTACTTCAAATCTACTGTGTCCTTAATTCTAAAGTTAACCTCTTGTAGATAACGTATAGTTGGATCTTGTTCTTTTTATTTATTCAGCCACTCTGTTTTCTGATAAATGACTTTAATCTGTTTACACTTAAATTGTTGACAGGTAAGTACTTACTATTGACAAATGATTTATTTGTCTACTTTTTATTTCTTTTGGTGTTTTCTCTCCTATTGCTGTCTTCCCATGTGACTCCCTTTAGCACTTCCTATTAGGCAGGTGTAAAGGTGACAAATTCCCTCAGGTTTTGTCTGAAGAAGTATTTGTCTCCTTCATTTTTATGGCAATTTTACTGAATATACTATTTTTGATTGGCAGGTTTTCTTTCAGTACTTTGGCTATATCATTCCACTCTCTTCTTCCCTGCAAGATGCTGCTGAGAAACCAATCACTGGTCTTATCAGAGTTTCCTTGAATGTGATGAGTCACCTTTCTTGGCTGTTTTCAAAATTATCTCTCTGCCTTTGACTTTTGACAAATTAATCATAATGCGTCTCGGTGTAGCCTCTTTAGGGCCTACCTATTTGGAGTCCTCGAGCTTCATGGATCTGAATAGCTGTGACTCTCCCAGATTCAGGAAGTTCCCATCCATTCTTTCTTTAGATGAGCTTTCTGGTCCTTTTCCTCTCCTATAATGTGTTTATTAATTTTCTTATGGCCCATAAGTTCCTTAGGACTTTTTCACTCCTTCTCATTCTTTTCTCCATTTGTTCCTCTGCTTGTATAATTTCCAATGACCTGCCTTTGAATGCATAGGTCCTTTCCTTTCTAGTAAAGGAAGTGAAAATCAGAGAGAGAAAAATTTAAAGACATGAATATCCAGCAGGCTCCCCATTAAATGTGGACACCCTCTTCCCTGAATAAGGTAGCAGGATCTCCTGGAGTTCCTGCCAAAGTAATTCTGGGCATATTACTCATGTCTCTGCTTGCTCACTGAAAATGAAAGGCCAATATAAAAGAACTTCAGTGTATCTTAAACTTTTCCTCTGATTTTAGGTGTAATTTAAATCCACTCTCACAAGCATTGCAGCCCTCATCTGCCCACGTTGAAGATACTCTTGGCACAGCCCAGGCCAACTGCAAGGCAGCAGGCAAACAGCTGTGTAAAGGGTCCCAGAAAGATCACACGATCCCGCTGCTGTCCAACATGGGGAGCTGTGGACAAAAAAAAAAAAAAAAAAAAAAAAGAAGAAGAAGACACAACCACCTGTGGTGCTTAAAAAAGAAGGACTAAGATGGGTTGGAAGAAATCCTCATCAACAGCTTCAGGGGGAAGGGAAAATAATTGCTAGGAGGACAGAAAGGTGCACCTTGTGAACAATGATTTGAAAAGGCACTTGAAGAAGAGAGTGGAGGAAGAGAATTTTCCGTTGATACAGTGTTTATTGATGATTATTGACTGGCCTATCTGAGGCCATCGTAGTCTTGGAAGAGGTTGAGGAGGCTGTGTATGTGGGATGGATTGAGGAGATGGATTTGATTCTTGTGGCAAATATGAAATTTTTAAAAGTTAAATTTATTGAGGTGACATTGGCTAATAAGGTCATATAGGTTTCAGCTGCATATTTCTGTGTCACATGATCTGTGTAGTGCATTGTGGGCCCACCACCCGAAGTCAGATCATCTTCCGTCATCATATATTTGACCCCCTTGACCCTTAACTGCCCTTCCTTGCCTCTAATAACCGCCACACTGTTATCTATGTCTGTGAGGTTTTGTTGGTTTTTCTTGTTTGTTCATTGGTTGCTTTCAGTTTTATATCCCACATACAGCAAACGTGAATTGGCTAAGCATAGTGGAAGTGACAGACCTTCTTACACGCATTGCAATGGCCTGAAGGCAGTGGATCCCACACCTGGGGAACTGTGCACGTAGAATTAACAGAGTCCCCAGGATACATTCAGAAGCAAGTATCTTGTCATTGCAGTGACTTGGAGCAATTAAGGAGGAAACACCTGAAGGCGAAGAACATCTAGTTGCAGACCCCCCAAAAAGGGAGAATAAAGCTGAATAAATAAAGGAAGAGGTTTCAAAAGAAATGACTTTGGATGAGTGGAAAGCTATTCAAAAAATGAGAGCTCAAAAGTAGAATTTAATATCCATAAACCATGTTCAGTGGAAGAAGGGATTTGGTCTACAGAAGTCCAAGAGTGAGGAGGCTCATGCTGAAGATTCAGTTGTGGACCATCATTTCCAGAAGCCAACAAATGATATAATGTCTCAGCTGGAGGTCAAGTTTGGAGACGTTAGCCACCCAGGATATGGTGGCAGGGGAGGCCAAGATGGCCATGCCGTGGGCGTGGTAGATGAGCAAACTGTGGTGGCAGGACCGGCCAGTCAAGTGCTTCTGCTCTGGCTGCGGATGCCCAGAGGCACTCCCTGCTCTGCCTAACTGGGTGCCATCAGATAGTCCCAGGTCCTTTGCGGAGAGACCCTGCCCTGTGAGATTTTGCATGACTAAAGATCCCAACAGACTAAGAAATTTAAAAACAAAAGACTGTCATTCAAGCCATTCACACCTACAGACTGCATTTTATTTGTATTGAAAATGAACTCCTCTCCCTATGTGGATGTAACAATACGGTAGTAAACTTTTTAAATTTAGAAATGTACTGGGAGCAGGGATGTTTTCATAATTTTCAGAGGTTGTGCATTTTTCATGAATATTATATACTGCTGCTTGCAAATATGCATTTCCAAACTTGAAATATAGGTATGAACAGTGTGGACCAAAAAAGGAAAGAAAGATGTTCTTGGAACCCATTCTTCCAATCCCGCCCATGACAATAGCCCATGGTTGCAGGTTTCTGGTGTTAGATGCCAGAAGGAAAAGCCTGCATGACTCTGCTCTTCCCCATGCATGAACCCAATATTTTGCTGCTCAGGCTGGTTGGCCGACTGAAAGGACATCTTTGATTGTGTAGGTCCTTCCTTACGGTGACCTTTCATGTCTCTAAATTCCCTTCCTCATGGAATTTTTCCAACAGACTTCCTGATATTTTTTTCATGTGTAGAATTAAGTCAATATTATTTGAATAATAAATAAGTCCACATCTGAGGCATGAGGGATCTAATTCCATATTCATGTTTGCAGCCTCATGTGTGGCCTCAGAAATCCTTGCGAGGAAGGTGCTACTACTTTTCTCGACCTTCTTCTCTTACTCTTGCTTCTTCTACTTAGTCTTCTCTTTAACAAGGAAACTGAGATTTAGAAATATTTAATTACCTTCCTCGATGTACATATCTAGCATGTTGTAGTGCCATTGAGTCACTCAGATCATAATCAATTCTGGGGACAAATCATTCTACGCCAAGGTCTCCGCAGATTTCATCCTCGGATTTACTTCTAGGCATCTCATTCATGGGGGCACCAGGCTTTCCCTTGGAGAGACTGGGTGGAAAACCAATCTAAAGACTCTCAGGAAATGCTCTTTTTTTCTGAGACAAACAGTTTTTCCGCAAAGGACAACCAGCTGAGACCCAAGCTCAGTTGCCAGGTCTCTCATGCCCCACCAGCATAAGTGGAGCTTTAGACCATAATCCAAGACACTCTGCATCTGCTTCCCTTCGTGCTCAGGAGATCTAACATAACACACACCCCCTTCCCGATGCCTTGCAGACCTGTCAAATCTCATGTTTAATATGTCTTTGTTGCTACATAATCTCCCTGAGGCTTCCTTAACACCCCAATTCACGTTTCACATCCCTTTTGTATCTGTCAGTGCATCCTCACTGGCTATAGTGTCCAGCAGACAGAGAAGGAAGTGGTCATCTTGTCCTCTGCTGGGGGACTCACAATGCCTACCATGTTGTGACAACTGAACAGTTTGTTGTTGTTGTTGTTGTTGAAGGTTTTGAGATCCACCATGCGGGACGAGCTGGAGGCGGCCCAGACCAGACCGCGTGTGTCGGACTTGTTCCGCACGCCCAACTTGCGTAAGAGGATGTGTGTCCTGTGCTTTGTGAGGTAGGCTTCCCCGTGCGCGTGAGGAATGTTAAAACAGTGGAGGCGTGAGTCTGTTTATCTCAAAGGCTATATAATGTGCTATAGAAACAGATTCGAGATAAAGCATAAAGAAGCCATAAAGATAATTGCTATGTTTAGAGATAGTCAAAGGGCTATGAAAAGACCGACCGGACTAATGGTACAGTGAGCAGTGTTGTTGCTCCCATCGTCCTGTCAGGCTCGTCCCTGGAAGCCGAGGCTGAGAACCTCAGCTGTGGTACAGATTTTGATTTTAAGTTTCTTCACTTGTTTCTATTTTAACGGTGGTAAAGCTACAAACGGTAAAGTGCACAAATAGTACAGCTCTATAAATATTTACACATGTAAATATGCAGCCATTCCCCAGGTCGAGATACGGGAAAAATTCTAAAACCCTGGAAGGCCCCATTATGTACCCACAAGAACAACACTCCACACCTCTGGAAAAACTTAATAACAATAACCTCTGTCATTGTACAGTATTTTATGACAGTTTTAAAATCATCACCATGCTAAGATATAATCTACAAAACTGACAAGGCCTTTATTCTTTGTCACCAACCCTTGGCTGTCTGGCTGACAATATTTATTAGCATCATTTGCATGACATTGGCTCTAAACCTTATGTCACCTGTCCGTCTGCTTTTGTTCACCACAGACTTGCAGTCTGCATACCCTTCTATGGCCTGGCTCTCCACCTCCAGCACCTGGGGACCAACATTTTCCTGTTCCAGGTTCTCTTTGGCGCAGTCAACTTCCCAGCCAATTACGTTGCCTTTTTGGCACTGAATCACCTGGGCCGGCGAGTGAGCCAGGTGCTTTTCACGTTCTCGATGGGGAGCTTCATTGTGGCCATCACGTTTGTGCCTCAAGGTGAGAAAGGAGCACAGGCTGAAGGAAATGTCTTCGCCCTTTTCCTCAGGGAACGTACTCGCACCTCTCTGAGGTCGAAAAGGGAGAAGGTCGTTCTGATGATTTCCCAAAACCACTCTGACGATTTAGGACGGACTCTGCCATTCAGCGGCTGGAGAAGAGTCCGAGGCCAGTAAAAGTTAGTTCAGATGTAAGGTTGTTTTCATTGTATCTGAGAAGTCCCCGGTAATTGGTGCCATTTATTCCTGGCCATTTTTCTAAGCGACCAAATGATCACTTGCTCTTTCGTCAATCAGACTTGTAGTCATAAACAACGGTGTTCTGTCCATTATATAGTTGTGTCTCATGGGACGACTCAATGCTCTCACTTCCTCGGTCGGGGCTCTGTTGTATGAGTTCCAATTTGCTCCATGATCGCTGCATATCCACATGAGTGTCTTGTATTGGGTCACCATGACTGTTATCCTGGAGGTTCTCTTGAGTTCAAGAACATAATAATCTCTTGTCTTCAAGCAGAGAAGTGTCCATCAGGAACAAGGCCTTAAGCAGTTAAAACCTCCCTGAGGATCAATTTTACTAAATTAAATAAACCATACATAACGAATAGGGGAACCCAAGTGGTCATCAGGCGTTACCGACTCCCAGATGGGTGGGCTTCACTCATCTTGAGTGTCCACAACGATCCAAGTTTGCTGCCTCATGACACAGCCTACCCCAGTGTTGCAATGCTCTTGGGTGACATCTTTTTAATGGGGTAGAAAACTGACTCTAAAATTTCCTTTCAGAGGTTTCCAATGTCTAACCAATTCTTTTCCCTAATATAGGGCCTTATTCTTGCATCTTCAAATGTTATTCTAGGTCAAGTTATCTCTAGTTTATTCATCAACACAAGTCCCATTCTTTCATTACTCTCTATTCCGGTACTATTGACATTCCATGCCAATATTGTACATGCATCCAGGTTTTAAACTCTTTGGGGACACTGATGAGCCTTGAACCCCTCAGCAATTGCACATATGACAGACTGTCTTGTGCATGAGAGGCCGAGGCCACCCTGGAGAGAACAACGGAAAGCAATCTCTTGCTGGCTTCATGTTCTCTTCTTTGTCTTTGGCAAATTTCTGATATGTAGGAAGAGATAATGCATTAACTTAGACTTTATAAATTCTCTATTTCAGCTGTTGGGTATAGATAAGTCACATTTCTCAGCTATTAGTCGCTGCCATTCTCTGCCTCTATGTTTAACGCATGCAAACATCTTCAAAGTATCTTTCTCACTAATGATTTGGGGGATAGTGATTCCATCAGCTCAGGTTTCCTGAGTCTCACTGGTCTTCCTCTCCAGAAATGCAGACCCTCCGCTTGGTTCTGTCCACTTTGGGAGTAGGATTTTCCTCTGCGGCTCTCATGGGTTCTTTTGTCCACGGAAATGAACTGACCCCCACCGTAATCAGGTAGGAAGCTCTACCAGGGTCAAAAGAGACCTTTCCCAGCTAATTAACATTTATGCTGGAAGTAAACTAAGACTGATTAGTTATCAAAACAAGCAAATATAACAACAATTTATAGGCAATGTTTATTTACACCTGACTTTGGCCAGGTCCTGGGTTACGTCCCTTAATGTATCATCTCACATATCCTACTGAACCACTAAAGGGTAGCTGCTATGAGTAAGAGTATTTTTTAAATGATGAAAATGTCTGAATGCACTTGCATACTGAAAGAAACTTGCAAGCAAATAAGACAGCGCATTTGAAATGTGGTACTCTATTGTCGACCTTCATCTATCTAAACACTGCCTTGGTGTCTCCAGAGTCAAAGCAAGATGATAAACCACAAGTTACGCGTGTGGATTTTTACCAGATTATTTTTGTGCTGTCGTTTGTACTCCAGGGTGACAGCTTCAGGAATCATTGGGGCTGTTGGTAATGTTGGGGCAGCCCTGGCCCCGCTCCTGATGATCCTAACGGTGTACTCTCCACACCTGCCCTGGATCGTCTATGCAGCCGTCTCCTTCATCTCTGGCCTTGTTGTCTTCCTCCTTCCCGAAACCAAGAATCAGCCTCTGCCCGACTCCATCCAGGACGTGGAAAAGGAGTGAGTAGCCCCCTGGCTGTGCCTCGAGGGAGCTGTGTGCGAAAGGTCTGGGACGAGGGAGGCGGAGCAGAAATGAGACCGCGGTCCTCTAGGCGGCTGTAGACCTAGACCGCTGGTTGCCACGTGGTAGGCGCCTTTGGTTCAGCCACAGCCTCATCCCTCCCCGTGGTCACCTCAGACGCCCCCAAGGCTCCAAGGTCACACAGACCAGCTCTGCCCAGCCCGCGCTGGGAGCTTTAGCGGTGACGGGACCTCGTGTGACGCACACACCCTGGAAGGTGTTTCACAAACATGCACAGGTCTGACCACCAGAGCCTCACCCTCAGGCCCGGCAGCTGCAGCCCAGCGAGCGAGCCCAGTGAGCTCTGCGGAACTGCTGGTTCCCAGCGGCCCTGGGCGCCCTGGGCCCTGGGGAATCTGGGCGGGGCAGGGGGGTGCTGTGGGGAGGAGCAGAGCCCCCTCCCGCAGGTGACAGTGTATCTCGAGGGAAGGAGAGCTGCCTTTCACATTCAGACCTCGTGGTTCCCGCCGGGGATGGGAGTGCTGAGAAAAAAGGGGGAAGAGGCGTAACTATTGGTATTTGAGATGATCAAGAATTGGCATGGGTTGGGGGGGAACTTGCCCCTTCCGAACCCCTTGGGCCCACGGCCCGGTGTCCACGGGTGGGAGTTGGAACTGTCAGAGCTGCCGTCCCAGGCCCTGTCCTGGGAGCGTGGTCTTTTTCTTCCTAAAGTTTACTCAGTCCTCAGGGGAGTGGGCACGGTTTTCATCCAAACCAGGGGGTCAAGAGTTAGTATGCTGCTTCCATGTTTTTAAATTGTTGTGTTTGCTGTTTCCTTGTATTTGTTCCAGGAGAAAGGGCTCACAAAAAGGAAGACGGGAGGACGGCTTCATGAAAGTGACTCGGTTTTAAGGGAGTCCAGCGACGGACTGCTAGTCAGAGAGCCAGACCGGGCCGGGGGAGGGCAGGTGGATCATGGCTAGATGCTGGCAAACTTTGGGGAAGAATGAAATGAAAAGCTGTAATGGAAAAGTGGATCTCATTTACAATTGCAGCACTAAGTAACTATGTCTAAAATATCCATGATTAATCGTCGTAAGTCTGAGGAGCCCTGGCCAGTGTGGCTCAGTTGGTTGGAGTGTCGTCCTGTGAACCGAAGGGCCGCCGATTTGACTCCTGGTCAGGGCATGTGCCTGGGTTGCGGGCTCAGTCCCCAGTTGGGATGCGTATGAGGCAACCAATCTCACATCAATGTGAGAGAGAATTCTTTCTCACATCGATATTTTTCTCCCGCCCCCTACCCCCTAAAATCAATAAGCACGTCCTCAGGTGAGGATTACAAAAAAACAGAGAAGTCTGAAGGAAGTTGCCAACTTTCAAAGAAAGCATAATAAAATATGTATATAAATTTTGATCCCTAATGTATTTCTGGGTAGAAAGAATAGTATTAAAACATTGATTCTGCTCCAGTTACTTGGTAGAGTAATTAATTACAATGAAAAACCACATACTTTTGGAAGAATTTGAAAAAGTTACAAATTTATCTAGAAATTAATAATAAACAAGGTGATTCAGGAAAGAGGATCATACAGTGAGGGGGCTGACTAGTGTTTACAGTGGCATGTGCTAGACTTTACCATAAGAACAACAGTCAAAGCGTAACAGCAGACATATTTATCCATCAGAGGAAGTGCGGAAACAGACACCAGGGGATGTAACAATTAACATGTAATTTTGATATCATAAATCACTGGGCAAAATAAAGGATTACACAACAAATAGCATAACTAAGTACTTAAAAATAAATGACTAATAATGTGATCTCATACCCTAAACGCAAAAATAATTTTACTTTAATAAAAAGCTAACTGGAAACAATAAACCATAGTTTCCAGTAGAACACTTGGCTACAAAATCTTGGGATTAAAAAAAAACAAACGTTTAGAATAGTAAAGCAAAGGCCAGACTTCAGCAACAGGTGATTTGAATACAACTCATTTAAATCTACTGTTGAGCAAAACCTTAACAAATTATTGGAGCAAACCAGAAAAATGTTCAGCAAAACGATAAAAAAAGTTAACCTTTAGTGGTAGACGTTTAAGTAATTGTTACTTTCTCCTTTGTTTCTGTCTCAAAGTTTAAATAAGGAATATGTGACATTTCAGAATATTTTAAGATGTCAACAATGAAAGAGGAAATGAAACAATAAACAATTTTCAGAATGTACCGCTAATATATAGAATTCTCATCACTCTGTACCTGTTTTGACCACTACCTTAGCGTGACCAATTCCTGATTCACTGTAGCCCCACAGGGTCCACATTTGCAATGTGATCATTTCCCCATTCCGTGCACCTGGAGATTGGATATACTTAGAGGTTCGCAGGGCATCCACCTTGTCCTGTGGGGTAAGAGCTGTCACAGTGGAGAAGGCCAAGGGAGATTAGAAAACTACGGTCTAACTCCCTCCCAAGATAGTAAATCAGAGAAAATCTAGTGTTCCCGGTGGATAGCAGAAGTTATTCCATCCCTCAAGGCCTGAAGCACACAGGGGTGGAAGTTCCTATGACGCCTCCCTTTAGTTATTTTCAGGCCAGGCTTAGTTCCACTCGGTTCTGTGCCTGCAAATAACGGAATGATCTTGGAGGATGACTGTGGATGGCCGTGAATAGAACCAGACACTAGACTCAACTGGAGCTTCTGGCTACTCGTGGCCGGTGTCTCTGTCCAGGGCAAAGTTTCTTTGGTAGACCTTTGAAACCCCTCCAAGGCATGGGCAGTGATTTTTCTAGAGGATCAAGAGCTGAAGCCTCAAAGAGAAGCCAAAAACAAAGAAAGCATTGTGATTTCAGGTAAAACTTAAAGTCTAATCCCAAATTGAAGGGCACAAAGACGGATGCTCTGAATGACGAGCACTGGATGCGAATTCCACTGCTTTTCACAGGGGCGAATCCTGGTGGCGAGCACTGGGCCAAGTAGCGTCAGGCACTGGTTTACTAAAGGATAGTTAATGATTTCCTGAACAATGTTCGGAAAGACAGCAAATGATTTTATGAAAGTAAGTGGAAAATATAAAAATGAAAGCACCAGTATATGGCAAAAAACAAACAAAAAAAAAAACCCCAAAGGGTCTCAGAAAATTATTGCTGAGGAAGAGAACAAACCCATAGGGCATTCTTGAAAAACAAAACATTTTTGCTTCCATTAAGTGATCCTTTGGTTTAAGTCAGAAGATTGTATTTAATGCAAAGAAAAAGAACATAATTTAAAATAATGTATGTAATGCCAGAATTATATTATCAAAAAAATGTATCTAAAAGGCCCTGACTGGTGTGGCTCAGTGGGTTGGGCATCTTACTGCAAACCAAAAGGTCACCAGTTTAATCCCAAGTCAGGGCACATGCCTGGGTTGCACCTAGTCCCCCGTTAGGGGTGTGTGAGAGGCAACTGATCAATGTTTCTCTCCCTTTCTCCCTCCCTTTCCCTCTCTCTATAAATAAATAAATAAATAAATAAATAAATAAAATCTTTTTAAAAAATGTATCTAAAAGGCCTGGGGTATTTAGCAGTGTTATACGTTAAATTTTTATGTGGAACAATATAATATTTTCAATTATATTTGATCAATTATGCTATTACAGTTGCCCTGATTTTTCCCGCTTTGTGCCCTCCACCCAGCGCCCCCTTCTCCCTCTGGCAATCCCCCATCATTGTTCATGTGCATGGGTCATATGTATAAGTTCTTTGGCTACTCCATTTCCTACACTGTACTTTATATCCCCATGGCTATTCTGTAGATGCCAATTTGTACTTCTTAATCCCCTCCCCTCTTCACCCATTCTCCCACATGCCCCTCCCATCTGGCAACCACCTGAGACCTAACCTCTTTTCTCTTGCTGCTTTTAAAAAGAGTTACTCTTTTTATCTTTAACATTTGGCCTTTTAATTGTGATGTGTCTTGAAGCGGGCCTCTATGCATCCATCATAATTGAGACTCTCTGTGCTTCCTAGACTTGCATGTCTATTTCCTTCACTAAATTAGGGAAGTTTTCTTATACTATTTTTTCAGACAGATTTCCAATTTCTTGCTCTTTCTCTTCTCCTTCTGGTACCCCTATGATGCAAAAGTTGGTCCTCTTGAAGTTGTCCCAGAAGCTATTTATACTATCCTCATTTTTTTGGATTCTTTTTTCTTTTTGTTGTTCCGATTGCTTGTTTTTTGCTTCCTTATGTTCCAAATCATTGATTTGATTCTCGGCTTCATCCACTCTACTGTTGTTTTCCTGTAAATTGTTCTTTATTTCAATTAGTATATCCTTCATTTCTGATGGGATCTTTTTTATGCTGCTGAGGTCCTCACTAAGTTCTTTGAGCATCCTTATAACCAGTGTTTTGAACTCTGCATCTGATAGGTTGCTTATCTCCATTTCGTTTAGTGCTTTTTCTGGAGTTTTGATCTGTTTTTTTCATTTGGGCCATGTTTCTTTGTCTTCTCGTTTTAGCAGCTCCCCTATGTTTGTTTCTATGTATTAGGTAGAGCTACTATGACTCCGTGTCTTGGTAGTGTGGCCTCCTGTAGTAGGGGTCCTGTAGGGTCGAGTGGCACAGTCTCCCCCATCACCTAAGCTGGGTCCTTGAGGTGCGCCCTTTGTGTGGGCTGAGTATACCCTCCTTTTGTAGTTGAGTTTTTTTTGCTGTTGGCAGATCAGTGCAGGGGATTTACCCAGGCCAGTCAGATGCAAGGACTGGCTGTGACCACTTATCACCACCCTCCATCCTCTGTGGAGGAGCAGCTGTGCAGGGGCAGGGTGGTGGGGCTCTGCTATAGCCTGTAGCTATCCATTTGGTGTCTGGGCCCTGGGGTTTCCTGGATGGTGCAGGCTCAGGTCAGCCTGCACCTCCATTTTGCCCAGGGCACCCTGCCTGACGTGCAAAGCAATCTGAGAAGGCTGCTACTTGTGCTGGGCTTGGAGATTCCCAGGTGAAGCCAACCTGCCAATCTAATCTGGCTGCTTCTAGGACGAACTGAAGCCAGCTATGCTTGTTGATAGGATTTAGGAGCCAAGACCAGCCATTCCTATGGAAAAACAGCTTGGGTGGGCCTGTACATTGGGTGGGGCAGAGCCTCTGGGGATCTCTAAGAAGGGTCAGTGTTAGCCAGGTTGATGGAGTCTCAGATATGGCACACATTTACTGGCTCTGTGGGGGGAGGGTTTAGCAAGGCACAGTGACCACTGCCTGCCTCGATGCCAGACAATGCCTTTCTGCATACCACTAGTGCCTTTCAAGCTGCTACCCTGGTATCAAGATTCCTACCCTGAGCTCAAGCTGGAGCTCAGAGGGAGTGAGTCTGAGTAAATCTGTGTGTGGGTTCTTTGAGAGAAGCTGCTTGGGGCTCCAGAAGTTTCTTCTACTGACTCAATCCCTGCTGGGTTTTGCAACCTGAAGTTATGGGGACTTATCTTCCTGGCACTGGAATCCTGGGCTGGAGGGCCTGGTGTGGGTCTGGGACTTCTCACTCCCAAGATATCCCTCCCGAATTGTTATCCATGTGGGTATGGGACCAGCCTATTCCACATTTGCACCCCTCCTACCAGTCTGGATGAATGTTGTTCCTTTAATTATGTAGTTGTCAGACTTACATTCAGCTCAATTTATGATAGTTGTTCTATATTTTAGTTGTAATTTTGATGTGGTTGTGTGAGGTGAACCATGTCTGCCTATGCCGCCATCTTGACTGGAAGTCCTATAATATTTTAAAGTAATGACTGATAATGTTTTATGTTTGCTCTGGCCTCAAATCCACACACACTTCCTTTAATTTATTCACTCGTTTGCCGAGGACAGACCAAGCCTACACCTGCTATATTGGCATAATTATTCAGTGTCCCCTTTTACTACCAAAAGTGCCTTGGCCTTGTTTTTATGGTCATCCTAAAACCTTTCTCTTCAGGTCAAGTAGTTAAAAATGAATCCTGAAACTTAGACATGCATCATTACATCACAGGAGGCACATTGTCAAGGTGAAGCAAGCACATTTTTTACTTTGGGTTCAAAAACCTTTGTCCCACTGTAAGAAAGACTTAGGGAAACATCCTAGTTAGCTACTTCTGTCCCCCTTGCCATCCCTGCCACCCTACGACTAGCTACAGACATGAGCTGGGGAAGGAGTATCAGAAACAAGAACGTAGGAGCTGATGAAGAACTGTGGTCAGGTATGCGCCCCTCATCCAAAACAGAGAGAATGAGTTCTCCCACCCAGTAGGAAACCACAAGCCTAAGGAAGTACATTTATGTAGAGAACTGAAAACAAGAATAAACTTACTTAAAAGTCAGTCTCCGTTTTGTTATCACCATGTACCATCAATTTTAAATAAGGAGGATAAAATCCTCCTACCCATCACCAAAAAAATGTTTTGTTGGGCTATGTTCTAAACAACGGATGTGACTCTGGTTAAGGTTTAATAATACACAGGCTTCCAATGAGCTTGTTTTGGTTACTTATCACTTAATAAATATTGTATTCTATACGGGCATTAGACTGTAAGACTCTCAGTCACACTCGTGCAGTTGGTCCCAGGCATCTGTGGACCCAGCTACACACATTTGTTTCAGGAATAATTTTATAAGGATTCAGAATCAGACAGCTCACTTGGGACTATCACATGTGTGGTATGACATATTCCTGCTTTTGAATAATGGATTCAAAATAAACAATGAAAGCATAGTGATTGGAAAGATGAAGAACCTGAACTTGATTTATGCCAATTATGTCCTTTTATATGACCACTTGGAGATCTTTCTGTGTTTCAAATTTAAAACAGTAAAACAGAATGCAAACTGGGAGATGTAAATTTTTGTTTGGTGAGTAAACATTTCACTTTATATATGACATACTTATCTGAATTTGGTAGTATTTTTTGAATTGAAATTTGAGT